TGCTCGTCGGTGCAGCGGCTTGGAGCCAGCTGTCCGACGATGCAGCTCGAGTGCCGCCTTACACGGACCCGCCGTTGAAAGCCCCTGGGGGCTTCTGCGCTTTTGCCTCCAGGATGGCTTCTCGGGGACTTGTGAGGTTCACTCGGCGCCCCGCTGCTCGTATCGGGGCGTTCACCGTTTTGAAAAAGTCGGGGAAGCAACGTCTTGTCCTCGACTGCCGCCAGTGTAATCTTCGATTCGCCCCTCCCCCCCACACTGAGCTAGGTGGTTTAAGTTCTTTGAGTGACCTGGAGATCCCTGTAGGACAGGCCTTGCATTGGGCCGAAGGTGACATCAAGGACTGTTTCTACGAGTGCGGTATCTCGGACGAGCTTTCAGATTTCTTCGCTTTCGAGGTTGACGCGGTCGTGGGGGACTTACTGAAAGCAGGTGTGTCGGGGATGCTCTTGGACGGTTTCAGAGTTGATGAGAAGGTGTCAATGTGTCTCACCGTGTTACCAATGGGGTTTATTTGGTCCTTCTGGTTGGTTCAAGAGTACCATATGCAAGTTGCCCGCAGGGAGGTCTCAGACAGTTTCGTTCTCGTGGACGGGCGCCCCGTTCCGAATGTGCAGGCAGGCGAGATTGTCCACGCGGCGTACTGTGATAATTTGAATGCCGGCGCTTTCTCGTGTGAGCGAGCTGGGGAGCTGCGTGATGCTCTTCAGAGGGATATGGAGCAGGACGTTTTCACCATCCACGACATCTCGGGACCTTCCCTCGTCGCCCGCGTGCTGGGTTCGGTTCTTAATGGCGATGCAGGTGCCCTCAGCCCGGACCCCGACAAGCTTTGGAAGTTGATCGTCGCGTTTGACCGGCTGAGTTCGGGGCCCGTGGTTTCGGCAAAAACTGTTGAGAGGCTGATCGGTCGCTACATTTATGTCGCCATGTTGAATCGCAGCACGCTCCCAGTCTTGCGGCACCTGTATGACTTCGTATCGCAGAGTTCGGAGCCCGAACGTCTTTGGCCGAGCTGCTGCAAAGAGTGTCGCATCATTACTGGTCTTCTGCCACTTGCCGTGGCTGATCTTCGTCAGGAGTGGAATCCCACGGTCACGTGCACCGATGCCTCGCCGACGGGGCACGGAGCTTGCCAGCGCGATCTGGACGTTGATGCAGTTCGGAGGGTGGGGAGGTGGAACGAGAGGTGGCGTTTCAAACGACTTGCTCCTGACCTATGGGCCCCCAGGTCTCGTGCTCTAGGATTGGACCCCCAGGAGGACCTCGCCACGGCAGGGAACGTCTGGGCCCCGGAGGTCTCGAAGGAAGGTCTGTGGGACGATGCTGGTGATTGGGGCTCTTTCAAGTATTCGGAGGATCCCGATTTCCCCGAAGTGCCCCTATGTCTTATGAGGCAGGAGTCTTGGGATGTGGTGTTGCGTGGTACCTGGGAGTTCTTGGACGAACATATCACGATCAAGGAAGGTAGGACGGTTATTCTAGCGCTCAGACGTCTTTTTCGGGCTCACCGTAACTTTGGAAAGCGACATCTACTACTCGTCGACAACATGGGGCTGTGTTTCGCTTTGTCGAAGGGTCGCGCCTGCTCGTGCGATTTGCTCAGGGTCTGCCAGCAAGCGGGGGCCCTTTTACTCGCCACCAACAGTCGCCTTCGGTCGCGGTGGGTGCCCAGCGAGTTCAACGTTGCAGACGAACCCTCACGCCGCGAGGAACGGGCGGGCGCTCGCCGCCGGGCCCACGCTGCCGACGCGGGCGGGCCAGGAGAGGCAGCTCGTCGGCAAGGCGCAGGCGGCGGGGGGCATCGCTCGCGCGGCAGCGACGGCGCCCACTGGCTCCCGGAGCCTCCGGGGCTGGAGCGTTGGCGAGAAGGAGCACGACCGCCGGGTCTCTCCCAAGGAGAAGCGCTTGCTGACGGCGCTGGTTGATGCTCCCGAGGACCGCCGCCCTTTGCCGCCTTTGGGCACGCGGGCGGCGCTCGACTTGACGTCGCACAAGAGGAAGGCCGAGGAGGCGCTCGACCCGAAGGGGAAGCTGCTGGCGTGGCGGGGCATGAAGTCTCGCTTGGAGGAGCGCAGCGTCTCGGCCAAGATGAATCAAGATTACGATTTCTACCTGAAGGAGTTCAGGGACTTCTGCACGGAGAACGGGTTGCCCACGGGCATCTCGGCGCATACCGACTTGCTGCTCGTGGATTACTTCGACGTGAAGTTCCTGGACGGGCACGGCCCCTCGCTCGCCGAGAAGACCATAGTGGCCGTGCAGTTCGCGGAGGCTCGCACCAAGAGCGGTCAGATCTGGTCGCCGGCGCGGGCCCAGAGGGCCTTGAAAGGGTGGAGAAAGGTCGCGCCTGCCACCAGCCTGCTGCCGCTGCCTTGGATCATCCTGGCGGCTCTGGCGATGCACTTGGCGCAGCAGGGGAGGCAGGACATGGCGTTGTACCTGGCGGTGTGCTTTGCGTGCTACCTGAGGCCCTCGGAGGGCTTGAGCATCCGCGCGAAGGATGCGGTTCCCCCGGTCTCGGTGGCGGGGCACGGGTTTCGGTACTACACGGTGGTCATCAGGGGGTCCGACGAGACGGTGCCCGACAAGGTCGGGGTCTACGACAACAGTCTCATCCTCGACCAGGGGCATCTGCCCAACCTCGGCGCGGCGCTGCGCAGGCGGGCCCGGGGAAAGGCGAGGGGCGCCTTCCTGTTCGACTTCCAGCTGAAGGAGGTGCACGACTTGATGAACCAGGCAGCTCTCGACCTCGGGCTGCGCGACCGCCTGTCGCTCTACCAGTGCTGGCGCGGAGGAGCCGCCCACGACCTCGTCGGCAAGCACAGAGACAGGGCCACGGTGATGGCCCGCGGCAGGTGGCAGACGGAGAGCTCCGTTCGTCGGTATACCAAGATCGGAAAAGTTCAGAATATGCTCGCGATGCTCGTGCCTCACGTCCTCGACCATGTGAAAAAGTGCGCGGCCGTTCTCGACGACGCGCCGATGGGGCGGAAGGCCGCCCTCCAGCCGCCCCGGGCCGCGAGGAGGTGAAGCGCTCGCGGCGCAGGTCTCCAGCTCCGCGCTCGCGCGGAGCTCGATGGGGGCTCGTTGGGCGCCGTGGGTGTCTGGAAGTTTTCTCGGGATCTGGCCGCTTGACTGCGTCGTTGAGAGGCCGCGGCATCCGTGCGGAGGGCTTGGACGTTCTGAACAATGTCGACCTGTTGGTCAAGAAGAACCAGCAGAGAGTCCTCGCCCTTATTAGAAGCAGGAGGGTTGGTTGTCTCTGGTTCGGGCTGCCCTGTAATACTTGGAGCAGAGCTAGAAGATGGGGAGGAACTGGTCCAGGGCCTCTTCGGGACGAACAAAAGTATATCATGGGACTCCCTGGGCTGGGTGAAAAAGACGCCAGGAAGGTCAAGGAGGGGAACCAGTTGATGTGGTTTGTCGTTCGCTGTTGCCGGGCCGCGTCAAAAGCTGGGGCCCCCTGGACTATCGAGAACCCTCGCACGAGTCGTGTCTGGAAAGCCCCGGCTTTGAAAAAGCTCGCCAAGGTGAAATATTTCGGGGCCGAGGTTCTATCTCCCGCGTTTGTGTACCTTGATGTCTGCCAGTACGGTGAAGCTTGGAAAAAGAGTACGACGTTGTTATCCCACGGTCTTGATCTGTCCTCTGCTGGCCGCAGGTGTACTATGTCAGATGGGCTGTGTTCTCGGACAGGCTGCCGCCGCACCGTCTTGGAGGGGGAATATAGCTGTGGAAATTGGAATACGTTACGTGCTCAAGCTTATCCTAAAGAGCTGACTAAAGTGCTAGCAGGATTAATTTATACACGCCTTTTAAGCAGTCCACTTCGTGGATAAGGGAGATCTCCAGGCCTCACCAGACCAAACTGTAAGCGTTTGCAGCCGCCCAGAGCGGCTGTCCGTCAGCTCGCGCCATCAACCTTGTAACCTGCCGCGTAGCCCCGCTATGCGTCTGAAAATGTTGTCTGGCCAAGGGGGAGGGGTAGATCATGAGAGTGCGGTGCACAGCATTGATCGTGCCTCCCCGCGGCCGTTTTCAACCCTCAAGGTTTTTTGCAACGCCATCCCGAACCCCGTCCTGCCTCCCCTCTCTCTCTGTCTCTCTTTTCGATTGGGGGAGATCTCCAGGCCTCACCAGACCAAACTGTAAGCGTTTACAGCCGCCCAGAGCGGCTTTCCGTCAGCTCGTGCCATCAACCTTGTAACCTGCCGCGTAGCCCCGCTATGCGTCTGAAAATGTTGTCTGGCCAACGGGGAGGGGTAGATCATGAGAGTGCGGTGCACAGCATTGATCGTGCCTCCCCGCGGCCGTTTTCAACCCTCAAGGTTTTTTGCTGCGCCATCCCGAACCCCGTCCTGCCTCCCCTCTCTCTCTGTCCCTCTTTTCAATTGGGGGAGATCTCCAGGCCTCACCAGACCAAACTGTAAGCGTTTACAGCCGCCCAGAGCGGCTTTCCGTCAGCTCGTGCCATCAACCTTGTAACCTGCCGCGTAACCCCGCTATGCGTCTGAAAATGTTGCCTGGCCAAGGGGGAGGGGTAGATCATAAATATGATGATGATGCTGATGATGACAATGGTGATGATGATGACGATGATGATGATGATGGTGATGATGGTGGTGGTGGGGATGCTGATAGTGGTGATGGTGGTGGTGGCGATGACGCTGCTGATGATGACGCTGTAAATGTTACTGGTGGTGCTGTTGCTTATGATGATGCTGATGACGATGATGCTGATTATGATGTTGATGATGAGGATGATGATGCTGATGACGATGGCGATGATGTTGAGAGGCATGAAGGGTGAGGAGGACTGCGCGGGGTGTCCAGAGATCACAGGAATCCCACTTAGTATGTGGTGAACTAGTGCTAGCTTGAATTCCAGAGAGGAAGGGGAGGAAGAGTAGGAGGAGGAGGAGGAGGAGGAGGAGGAGGAGGAGGAGGAGGAGGAGAAACAGGACGAGAAGAAGGGGAAGTTTGGACTCTGGCCGCCCAAGGGCTGGGGCGGCGGCTGGGCGGACAAGGGCAAGGGCAAGGGCAAGGGCAAGAAACCCGACTGGGGCTGGGGCTCGCAGTCCTGGCCGGCGTGGGGGGGCTGGGGCAAGGGCAGGCGGCCTGCGTCAGAAAGCTGCCCTGCTCGGCATGCCCTACAAGCCTGACCCCCCCCCACATGGCCCCCCGCCCCTTCCAGCGCCTCGATAACTCGGTGGTGCAGGCTTGTCTGTCTCAGTCCCCACGCCTTCCACCCTGGAACAGCACCAGGTCTTGGGGCGCGGAAGGGTGCCCGAGCTTCCGAGTGACTATCTTCTCGACTGTTGGGGCTCTCGGTCGAAGGCGCGCAGATCCCAGAACTCCGGCGTGATTTGCATAATTCGGACATGTTTCCTCGGTTCTCGGCCTCTCGGGGTCCAGGGTTTGGAGTTTATTTGCGAAAGTAATCAAGAGTTCTAGGGGCCTTCGTTGGATGTTTTTCCCCTTTTGTGCGGAATACATAAATACAGACGTACAGGGGTGGTCCGCGGAATTGGTCGCGGGTTGGTCGCGGGTGGGTCGCGAGGTGGGTCGCGAGGTCGGTCGCGGGTGGGTCGTCAGGTGGGTCGCAGGTGGGTCGCGGGATGGGTAGCGGGTGGGTCGCGGGGCGGGTCGCGGGTGGGACGACGCCAACAACAACAACAACAACAACAATAATTTTAAGACTGTTCGCCCTTATATGCTCGAGTTTCCAATAACGCGTATTTCCCAAACCCTCGATACCCGCCCTCTTCGTCTTCGATCGAACCCCTTTTGGGGGCTAGGCCTTTCTTCCCTGCAGGCCGGGCCCCGGCAAGCGGCGGGGCGGCCGCGGACCGTCGGCCTGGCCAGCGGCAGCGCTGATCGGCGGGGCGGCCGCGGACCGTCGACCCGACCCCAAGAGGGACGGACAGGGGACCGACCACGACGACGACGACGACGACGACGACGCCGACGTCGACGACGGCGGCGACGACGACGACGTCGACGACAGAGACGACGACGAGCGAAAGCGAGAGCGAGAGAAAACGACAGCAGGGCCACAAAGCACACGAAGTAGGCCACGAAGGGCGACAGCGGGGACACGAAGGGAATGCGTATGGGGCCACGAAGAGCGCGAACGAGCGGGGGCCACGAAGGGCAGATAATGTGGGGCCACACAAGGCAACTATGGGGCCACTGAGGGTAGCAACTGGGCCACGTAGGACAGTGAGGGGGACACAAATGGCGACAGCGGGGCCACGAAGTGCATGCACATGGGGCCACAACGGGCGCGACTCCTTGGTGCCTGGGTGTGGGGAGCGCGGCGCTTTGGCAAATTGCAGGAAATTCCAACGCAAGGCTATTTTTCAGTAAGTTGCAAGCAAGTCTCCAGCGAGAGCTCGACTCCAGAGCGCTTGTAGAGCGATTCCTGAATACATTCTAAGGAAGTCCCAAGCGAGAGCGCGATTCCTGAATACAATGCGAGGAAGTCTCGGGCGGGAGCGGGGGTATTGGCTAAATTGTAAGGACGTCTCAAGCGGGAGCCGTTGTTGTTGTAACCCGGGGGCCATGGGCCCAGTTTGAGCATCAAGACTTGCCTTGTCCAAAAACAGAGTGCGAGCGTCGAAGGGCACACTCTGATTGAGAAAAACCGTATGCACCGGTGGGGGTGGATCAGCAATAATTATTCTTCAGAAGTGAGAATTCAACAAAAAACACAACAGCAACAACAAGTATATCAACAACAACAACTACAACTACAACTACAACTACAACTACAACAACAACAACAACAATACTTTTAAGACTTCTCGCTCTTATCTGCTCGAGTGTCCAATAACGCGTATTTCCCAAACCCTCGATACCCGCCCTCTTCGTCTTCGATCGAACCCCTTTTGGGGAATAGGCCTTTCTTCCCTGCAGGCCGGGCCCTGGCAAGCGGCGGGGCGGCCGCGGACCGTCGGCCTGGCCAGCGGCAGCGCTGATCGGCGGAGCGGCCGCGGACCGTCGACCCGACCCCAAGAGGGACGGACAGGGGACCGACCACGACGACGACGACGACGACGACGACGACGCCGACGTCGACGACGGCGGCGACGACGACGACGTCGACGACAGAGACGACGACGAGCGAAAGCGAGAGCGAGAGAAAACGACAGCAGGGCCACAAAGGACACGAAATAGGCCACGAAGGGCGACAGCGGGGACACGAAGGGAATGCGTATGGGGCCACGAAGAGCGCGAACGAGCGGGGGCCACGAAGGGCAGATAATGCGGGGCCACAGAAAGCAACGATGGGGCCACTGAGGGTAGCAACTGGGCCACGTAGGACAGTGAGGGGGCCACAAGCGACGACAGCGGGGCCACGAAGGGCATGCACATGGGACCACAATGGGCTCGTTCGCGGGGCCACGAGGGGCATACGTATGGTGGGCCGCAGAGGGCAAGGACGGGGCCACTGAGGGCAGCAACGGGGCCACGAAGGACAGCAACGGGGCCACGAAGGGCGACAGCGGGGCCACAAAGGGCATGCATATGGGGCCACCACGGGCGCGAACGAGCGGGGGCCACGAAGGGCATACATCAGAGTGAGGGGGCTGAACCGAACGGTCATTCACTGTCCCTGGGTGCGTGGCTGAAATGGGATTCCGCGATGCGGATTATTATTGTTGTTGTTGTTGCTGTTGTTGTTGCTGTTGTTGTTGTTGGTGATCTTGTTTTTGTTCTTGTTCTTGTTTTTCGTTGTTGTTCGTTGTTGTTCGTTGTTGTTTGTTGTTGTCGTCGTCCCACTCGCGACCCGCCCGCGACCCACCCGCGACCCACCCCGCGACCCACCCGCGACCCACCCCGCGACCCACCCGCGACCCACCCCGCGACCCACCCCGCGACCCACCAGCGACCCACCCGCGACCCACCCGCGACCCGCCCCGCCCCGCGACCCACCCCGAGACCCCCCTGGCGACCCACCCGCGACACACCCGCCACCCACCCGCGACCCACCCGCGACCCACTCCGCGACCCCCCCGCGACCCACCCCGCCACCCACCCGCGACCCACCGCGACCCACCCGCAACCCACCCGCGACCCACCCAAAATTGTCGGCGCCTGCGGCGGGTTTCTTTTGCATTCGTTCCAACTTGCGACCCACCCGCGACCCAAACCGCGTTCAGTGTACAAATCAAACTTTTCGGCGCCTGCGGCGGGCTGTTTTTGAATTCCTTCCACGTGGAGGTGGGGAGCCCGCGACCCACCCGCGACCCAAACTACGTTCATTGAGTAAGCCACAACTTCGGCGCCTGCGGCGGATGTCTTTTGCATCGGCGACCCACGCGCGACCCACTGGCGACCCACCCCGAGACCCACCCGCGACCCACCCAGCGACCCACCTGCGATCAACCCGCGACCCACCCGCGACCCACCTTGACCCACCAGCGACCCACCCGCGACCCACCCCGCGACCCACCCAAAATTTCCGGCGCCTGCGACGGGCTTTTTTTTCTTTCGTTCCAGGCTTCTTTTGCAGTCGTGAGGGCCACGAGGTCCGCCGGCTCGACGCCCGCGTCGCCCGGGCCCGGGCCCTCACTCTTATCCGCAAGCAATTGCGGCGTGTTGCGTATATGGGGCCACGAAACGCAGCGAGGGGGCCACGAAGGGGTGCAACGGGGCCACGAAGGGCTGCAACGGGACCGCGAAGGGCTGCAACGGGGCCACGAAGGGGTGCAACGGGGCCACGAAGGGTTGCAACGGGGCCACGAAACAAAGCGAGGGCGCCACGAAGGGGTGCAACGGGGCCACGAAACAAAGCGAGGACGCCACGAGGGGTTGCAACGGGGCCGCGAAACAAAGCGAGGGGGTCACGAAGGGTTGCAACGGGGCCACGAAACAAAGCGAGGGGGCCACGAAGGGCTGCAACGGGGCCACGAAGGGCAGCGAGATCCCGATTTCTACGTCATTTGTGAGGGAGTCCTCAGCGTGAGCGCGACTCCTAGGTGCCTGGGTGTCGGGAGCGCGGCGCTTGAGTAAAATGCAGGAGCTTCCAACGCAAGGGCGCTATTCGTCAGTAAATTGCAAGCAAGTCTCCAGCGAGAGCGCGACTCCAGAGCGCCGGGAGAGCGATTCCTCAATAATTTGTAAGGAAGTCCCAAGCGAGAGCGCGATTCCTGCGTAAAATGCGAGGAAGTCTCGGGCGGGAACGGGGGTCCTGGTTAAATGGTGAGGAAGTCTTAGGCGGGAGCCGTTGTTGTTGTAACCCGGGGGCCAGGGGAGAGCATCAAGACTTTCATTGACCAAAAAAAAGGTGCGAGCGTCGAGGGGCACACTTTGATTGAGAAAGACAGCGTGCACCGGTGAGGGGGGATCAGCAATACTTATTCGTCAGAAATGAGAGTTCAACAACAGACACACCGACATCAACAACAACAGCAACAACAACAGCAACTGCAGCTATCATTTTTAGACTGTTCGCCTTTATTTGCTCGCGGGCCACCCATGACGTATACCCCAAATCCCCGGTACCCGCCCTCTTCGTACCCTCTTGGGGTATACATTTGTCATACTTGCCACGCGCATTGAGAGCAGCCCCTAAGGCAGGGGAAGAAAGGACGGATGGAAGGAATAGACATGGGGGAGGGAGGAGGATGGAGGACGAGAGAGAGTAGCAGGAGGGAGGGGGGTTAGGAGCACAACCACGTGGCAGAACCAGACGGGCAGATCGGGCGGATTGACCGTAACGGGCGGGTCGGGAAGGCGGGCCCAAGCGGCCAGGTCGAGCAGGCGGGTTGTTGAAGCGTGAGCATGCATCGCGAGGAAGTCTCGAGCGATTGCGCGATTCCCAAGTAAATCGTTAGGACATCCGCAGCGCGGATGTGATTCCTGAGTGTCGAGGGCGCGGCGTCTGTATACATTGCAAGGAAGTCCCGTGCGAGAGCGCAACTCCTGTATAATGTTTGAGGAAGAACCGCGCGAGAACGCGACTTCACAATACATCGCGAGGAAGTATCCGGCGGGAGCCTTTTTTTGCAACTCGGATGCAAGGGGCGCAGTTTGACGTTCAAGATTTTTTCTGATTGAAAATAGGGTGCGAACCCTGGGAAACAAACACACTTCAATTTTGAAAAGAGTGTGCGTGGGGCGGGGGGGATCGACAAAACTTATTTGTTCAAATATGCATGATCAACACCATCTACAACAATTACAGCAACAGCGTCAGACAAACAAACAACCAAACAACCCACCAACCAACCAACCAAGAAACCAACCAACCAATCAACCAAACGACCAAGTAAACGAACAAACAAACAAACAGCACCAACAGTTTTAATAATGTTCGCTCTCATCTGCTCGCGTGTAATTTAACAAGTATGTCCCGAACCTTCGATGCCCGCCCTCTTCGTTTTCGATCGTACTTCCTTCGGGCTATATATCTGCTTTGCCTGTAACGTATATTTCGTGCAGCCCCCGAGGCAGTGGAAGAGAGGACGGATGGAAGGAAGGGACAGGGGAGAACGAGGAGGATGGATAACGAGACAGAGAGAGAGAGAGAGAGAGTAGCAGGTGAGGGGCTAGGAGCAGAAACCGCGAACCAGACGGGCAGATCGGGCGGATGGACCTTAACGGGCGGGTCGGGAAGGCGGGGGAACATTGAAGCGTCCAGGCCGGGCGGGTGTACCCAAACGGATTGGCCGGACAGGCGGGATATCGGCGGCCTTCCAAGCAACATAACCAGCGGATCTAACAGGCGGGTCGGCTGGCGGGCCTTGGCGGTCGGGTGGGCAGACCCTAACGGGCGGGCCAGTGGGGAGGGGCATTACATGCGCGAGTTTGAATTGATTGTGGGGGGTTCCAAGGCGACAGCGCGAGTCTTCTCTTATGTATATATATATATATAAATATGTATATATATATATATATACATATATACCTATACGACCACCCTACGGGTGATAAGGAGGTTGGGTGGGGCGGAGGGGCCGAGCAATGGGCAACAGTGGTGATTGTTCTCCTGACGATGCCAGTGGAGTTTTTTTTGTCGGAGGCCTGCTGAAGCCCCTCTTGTCGCCACTGACTCAATCGCTTCAAAATATTGCTCAACGGCTGCCCTTCGGCGGTCGAGACCGATGTACCGCCATCATAGCTCTTTTTCCTTTGCTCAAACAGCGCAAACGGCTGGAAGCCCAGCGAAAGCGCGCCTCATGCAGTCAGAGAATACCGAAGCGCTGGCAAAGCCTGGCATACACCGTGTCCCCCTAATAGCACTACAGCAAAGCCCGTTCGCTGTCTCATTCGGTCTCACGACCGATCTCACAATCGATATCACTATCGACGTCATCATCATCATCAACAACAACATCATCATCATCGCCATCATCAACATCATCTCATCATCATCGTCATTACCATCATCATCATCATAATCATCATCATAATCCTCATCAACATCATCATCGGGACACCGACGGGACACCGACGGGACACCGGCGGGACACAGGCGGTACACCGCGCGCCACCGGCCGCCCGGCGGAGAATCATTTGGTCCGGCCGCGCCTCAGCCACAGGAGACTTGCTTCTCGCCCGCCCACGCAGCTTCGCCTCGCCCGCACGGCACGCACGAACACGGAACCGAAATCGATTTCCCGGTACGGGGGCTCTCCGTCCCACTTCGATCTCACCCCCCAACCTCCGATACATATATATATATATATATATATATATATATATATATATATATTCGCACTTGCAAAAAAAAACAGACATGAGGAAGTCCGGGCGGAGGCTTTCTGATGAGCGGGAGCACGATTCTGTCATTTATTTCCAGGGAGTCCCAGGCGAGAGCGCGTTTCCTGAGCGTTAAAAGCAATACTCTTTCATCTTCCCTGAGGACTTCCTAGGCGAGAGGGCAATTCGCTCGTAAGTTGCGAGGGAGTCCCGTGTGCGAGTGCCCTTCCTGAGTGAGATGTGAGGAAGGTTCCGTTCTTGCTTTAGCCTGGGGGACAACAGTGAGTTTCAACACCTAGACTTCCCGGGACCAAAAAACGATGTTAGAGGCGAGAGTGGCACCCCAATGAAAAAGCGTAGTGTGCACTGGAAATGTGGGATCAGCAGTAATTGTGCTTCAGACGTAAAGGTTCAGCTCGCAAAGCGACGAACCAGCGCGACATCGGAAGTCTGGGGATGGAAGGCGGTTGCTGTAAAGGCAGGTTTTTCAGAGACGTCAGGAGGGTCGAGGTTCTCAAAAGCCTCCTGCCCTCCAGGGCGCCTGCTAAGCAGCCGCCCGCCTCAGAAAGCCGCCCCCCCTCGGGACTCGCCCACCCAGCCACCCACTGGGGAGGAGGAGGAGGAGGAGGAGCAGGAGGAGGAGGAGGAGGAGGAGGAGGAGGAAAGGGCGGGTTTGTCTCCCGCCGGGGGGTGGGTGGGGGGCAAAACGAAAGACTCCTGAGGTTAACGTGTTCGAGAAGGGGGGGGGGGGCGACAGCCCGTCAGCCAGCAGCAGAGCGAGTCGAGCGCGTGTTCCGCCCCTCGCGCTGCCGCCCAGGTGGAGCCCGTACTGAGAGCCCGCGGAGGCCCGCCTGCGCCGGAGGTCCGCGGCTGTCGCGGGCTGGCCGGTCGGGCGGCAGGAAAAGACGGGCAGGGCAAGTTGGGAAAAGGCGGCTCGATCGAGATGGGTATGAGTGAGGGAGTGCCGGGGGCGAAACCGACAGCGTTTCCTGTTCACTCTGAGCGGGGATCACTGTCGATGCCGCCGCGGACTTTGTCCAATTCAGACAGGATGTCGCCTGCCCGACAGCAGTCTCCGTCGGTCGTGGACAACACTAGCTGCTGGGTGTCGTTGGAGCTTGCATCTGTCGCGTTGATTTTCGGGCGCGTCCGAGAAAGAGGGGGTTTGTCATTCGCCGCCCATTACAGCAACTCTTCCGTGTAACGCCCCTCACGGGGTAGAAACCAATTCGACGCAATTTACTGTGGAGCGTCGTGTTGTTCCCTCCTCCTATCGCGTCCTTTCGCTGGAGGTTCAGCTCCGAGGCTGTTGGCAGTTCCCTCCTGTTCCCCCTCCTCCCCCTCCCCACCTCCGGTGTGATGGACCACGGGATCTCTTCGTGCCTCCTGGTAATTCCGGAGGTTTCCTGGGACCTGCAGGGACCTGGAGTCTCTTGTTGGCCTCCTTGGGCCTCCTGGTGCCTCCTGTGACCTCTTGGGACTTCCTGCGGCCTCCTGGGACCTCCAGGAACCTATGGGGCCTCCTGGGTCGTCCTGGGTCGTCCTGGGCCCTCCTGGGATCTCCTGGGTGTTCAGGGTGCTCCTGGGCCCTTCTTGGGTCTACTGGGGCCTCCTGGGACGCCTGCGGCTTCCTGGGACGTCCTGGGGCCTCCTGGGGCTACCTGAGAACTCCTGGGGCTTCTGGGACGTCCTGACGCCTCATGGCGCCGCCTCAGCCCTTGAAGGCTTCCTGGTGCTTCCCGAGATCTCCCGGAGCCTCCTGGGGTCCCCAGTGGCCTCCTGGGAACGCCTGGGGTCGCCTGGCGCGCCCTGGAGCTTCCTGGGGCCTCGTGGTACTGCTCAGCGCTTTATTCCCTGGAGATCCTCCGTGGACGTCCAGCGACGCCCTAAAGAATCCGCTCCAGGATGCGGTTCCCCACTTTGCCATGCGAGTTGGCTTCCCCGGACCCTAAGAAATGACGGCCATGTCACACTTTAGGGTCAAAACCGTCCTGGGCATGCCGCTGGCGCGAAGCCAGGTCCCGCACGGTGCAGTGCGATTTGCCCTCCCCATGTTGCCCTGCTGTTTCGCTGGTAAGAAACACTTCTCCCCCGTGTCGGCGTCGACGGAGGGCAGGCAGCGGGGGTGGCCCGGGTTCGCGGGTTTGGTTGGCGGGATGACAGAATGACGGGGTGGCTGGTTAGGCTGGATGGCTGGTGGCGGGGTGCCAGGGTGATTGGTTTGTCTGGGTGGCTGGCTGGAGGGTAGGCTCGGTGGCAGCGTGGCTGGTTGGGCTGGCTGGCCTTTTGGAGGGGTTGTGTTGGGGTTGGCTTTGTGGCGGGTTGGCGGGGTGGTTGGTTGGGCTGTGCAGCTGATTGGAGGGTTGGCTGAATGGCAGGGTGGCTGGTTGGGTTGGTTGGGTTGGTTGGGTTGGTTGGTTGGTTGGATGGGTTAGGCTGACAGGTTGAGCTGGCTATGGCAATTGATTTCGACAAGCGCAGTCCTGGGGTAGTTCATCCAGGGAGCAGAGGGAGAGGCAGGCAACGGAAGGAGAAGGGGTGGACGAAGCATGACGTGAGACCGAGGGATGGAGGTACAGCAGTGGAGGGAGACGGACAGAGGAGAGGAAGAGCCGCGAGCAGGAGGAGGAGGAGGAGGAAGCGGAGGAGAGGAGAACCAGTGTAAAACCAAGAGTCATCAACGATGTTGGAACTAGCCCTCCCTCAAAGGTCCCTCTTCATAGGCCCCCCCACAACGGTTCATTTCGATTGAGGGAACTGCCTCGTTGGAAGACAATCGCTTGAAGATCCTGAAGCATGCCAAAAGATTGTTCTCGGGATTACGACGCCACGTATCAACCTGACTGCTGCGTCTTGAAGATCCGGAATCGTGTCGGAGCGCCATTTGTGGGACTTCAACACAGCGAACCAACATAATTGCTGCATCCGCATAATCCTGAATCCTTCCAAAACACCGCTTCTGTTACATTGATCATGGGAATCCGTGGAACTCTTGCACGTTTTGGCAACGAATGTGCGCGGCGCTAAGGCGAGAGCCACATTTTGAAAAGGAATCGCCCTCAATCCGTGAAACTCTTGCACATGTTGTAAACGAATGTACGCGGTACTAAGGCGAGAGCCACAGTATGAAAACGACCCGCCCTCAATCCGTGAAACTATTGCACATGTTGAAAACGAATGCGCGCTGCGCAAAGGTGAGAGCCACATTTTGAAAAGGAACCGCCCTCACTCCGTGAAGCTCTTGCAAATGTTATAAACGAATGTGCGCGATGCTAAGGCGAGAACCACATTTTGAAAACGACCCGCCCTCAATCCGTGAAGCTCTTGCAACTTTGTAAGGCGAATGCGCGCGTTGCTAAGGCGAGCGCCACATCTTGAAGAGGAACCGCCCTCACTCCGTGAAGCTCTTGCAAATGTTATAAACGAACGTGCGTGGTGCTAAGGCGAGAGTTACATTTTGAAAACGGCCCGCCCTCCATCTGCGCAGCTGTTGTCCTTTTTTATGCTCCAGAGTCATAAATGGTGAGGAAGTTTCAGGCGACACGCCCGGCCCGCCCTAAAAACTGGCTTCGGGGTGCGACAGGGATGAGTTATCTACAAGGAGAAGGAAGGATTGGAGGAGGAGGAGGAGGAGGTACGAGGATGAGGAAGCAGGGACGAGGAGGTTATCAGGAAGGGGATAAGGTGAAGGACGAGAGGGAGGAGAGGAGGAAAAGCAGAACGAGGAGTGATGGGCGGCGGCGGTGAGAAGGGTTGTATTGCATAATGCTGTGCTAATGCCGCCCGCACTTCGTCTCACGTGCTGGTGCCGAGGAGCGTGGCGAATGGCGGCGCTGGCGCCCGTCAGGCGGGTTGTCGCATCCGCCCAGCCCTTTCTTATTCCCCTGCGCAACAAGGGAGGGATGCTGAGGATGAAGGAGGAGAATGCTCAGACGGAGTGGGAGAAATATCCGGAGGCAGGAGGAGCGAGTAAATCCGGGAGGGGAGGTGATGAGGAGGGGAAGGAGGACGACGAGGGGGAACGAGGAGGGATAGAGAGGATGATGGGGAGGTGTACGCGGTGGAAGTCGGAGGAGCGGGGAGACGGAGGAGGAGACGCAGGGAGAGGCGGATGGAGGAGGTGGGAAGACATAGTTTTTTTATTCATTGTTTTGCCGATCGGCGCGGGCCCTCGTACCCCGCTTCCCCAACCCATCGAGTAGATCTTGGCTGTTTTTTGGCGCCTGTTTCGAGCGGGTGGAGCCTGCCCCATGGGGCGCATTGTTGCAAACAGACGCATTCAGCAGAGGTCTGGAGGCAGACCCCCCCCCTCCCCTCCCTTGTCCGTCCAATGTCGAAACGCCGAATAAGAAAACGCTCACGCGTGGGAGGACGATGATATGGCCGAAACTATTTGGAATTATTTGGCTTAGCGCATGCGGGTGCGAAACATGGGGGAGTGGCTACCCGAGGCCGCGACGAACCAACTGCGCTGGCACCCCTCTCTTTCTCGGACACAGGCCCTCACCAATGCGAGACAACATGTTTCTGCCCTTGCGGGTGATGGGCTCACACGCAACATGCGGATGACTGCCATCGAGGGTGGCGTATTTGACACAGTCAAACAGAATGTGAGGTAATAGCGGTTCCAAAACCTGGGTGAGATCTGGAAAACCCATCAACAGGAATACGAAGAGGAGACTTCCCAACAGAAGGGTTCCGACCTGTAGCCGCCGTGGAAGATACCCGCTCCTCCTCAGTAACAGACTACAGCCTGGTTCTGGCCTCATTCGATGCGAAGCTTTTGGCGCGACTTTGGCCTGATCTCGGAGGTGCGGAGTCCACTTGGCGTACTTCGGATGCTCAACTGAGGGCGGCTCGACCTTAGACATCCGAAATTTCGCTTGTTGGCACCAGTGTGATAAAGTCAGTGACGTCGCGGGCTTGCTGCGCCAATGTTTGTCGCCACTCGGTGCGCACAGCTGCGCCAAGTGCTCTTCTTCTCTGGGCCAATGCGGGGCACCCCTCGGCGGGGATCCGTCGGAGGCAGCTTGGGCCAAGTTGATTCGGACAGCTCCCCTCCGCCTTCGCTTCCCTCTCCAGTGGGATATCCATTGCCCAACGACCACCCGCAGTGCTTGCAGAACAAAAACCCTCAACATTCCGCTTTTGCACCCACGCATCTGATTGAAGCACGCTAGAGTCTCTTCCGTGCACACGACGACGTGTCATTTAGAACCGTCAAAGTCACCAACGTTAGACACGTCCTGAGACCATTCAGATTCCAATACGTGCCGACGGATCATATGGCTGGAGGAGGAGAAGTACGCGGGGGAGAGGGACGAGTAGACGGAGGATGATCACGAGAAGGGGATCGAGAAGCAGGACAGCGGGCGAGGGTGGAGGCTCGGAGGAGGCTGGGAGTAGGAGCGGCATCACAACGATGGTGTACCTAGGGCACTGACTACATCGAATCCCGAGGGGAGCGGTGCAAAGAAAGAGCTCAATCTTCCCCTTCAGGCAAAGAGCGTGGCCTCCTTGAGAGGGGGGGAGAGACGGAATATTGTACCCTGATGCAGGAAAACGGGAGAAGGAGGAGGAGAAGGAAGAGTAGGAGGAGGATGAGGAGGAGGAGGAGGGGGAGGAGGAGAAGCATTACAACGGTGAGGAGCAGCAGTGGGAGCAGAAGGTTCCTCGTCGCTGCCAGTTCCTCGCCGCTGCCTCCCGCGATCACCGTCGCAGCGACCGCCGCCGTGCATCCCACGAGCCGCCCCGCGTGCTGACACAATGCACCGCGCCCCCTCGAGGCGGCCGCTCGAGCCCTGCTGCTGGTCACCTTGTTTCACCTGCGTCGGCCACACGGGTCCTGGCCAATCTCGGGTCGCCCCGCTTTGCCATTGCTTCATCCTGGGGGTCCGCTCGCGCCCTCCCCCTCCCTTTGGAAACTACAGAAACAGGGACCGTCGAGGACGCACTGACCCGCGTCAATGCAGCTCCAGATCAGTCAGGCCCTGGGATCTTGCAGGATCCTGCAGGATCCTGAGACCCGAGATCCCAGAGAAGAGCCAGTCAAGGCGATTGGGCCGGGGGCTGAGGGGCCCGCCGTGAACTTAAGCCGCGGCGCGGGAGGTCCGGAAGTCTGCCGCTCGCTCGCGGGGGCCCCGCAGGCCCGAGGCGCGCCTGGACACTGCGTGGCGTTCGTCGCCGACTCGTCCTGGGGGTGCTGCGCCTTGATCTGTCGCCACAGCCTTTTCTCAGAGGAGAAGAAGGTACCCATACTGCTACGCTTCCCTCGTTGTCGCCTTTTGGTCGGGCCTCCTGGGAGGCCCTCGTCGCCACCGATGGATTCGCCTCGGAATTCGGGGCAGAACGCACCCAGGTCCGTGGAGTAGCGGTATCGATACCTTTTAGTTTCTCCATCTTCCACCGTCGGTGCCAGGGGCGATTCAATTGGAGTGGCGACGCCTGGGCTTGCAAGCCCGATCTGATTTCACTTGTTTTGTTTTGGTGTGGCAATATCAAGGTGGAAAAAGCCGTTACTGCGCCGAGGCTAGTTTCGCCTGTTGGGCTCGCCAGTCCGCTAATGAGCCGCAGATGGCAGCAGTGCGCGAGCGATCTACAGTCACGATGCGGTGCCAATTGAATATGGCTCCACGTGTCTTCTTTGTGACACCCTGCCCGCCCAACGCCAGGTCAAGGGAAAGAGCATTAGAAATCGGTTGGACTGCACGTAATGTATCTTCGTGACCCTTCCTCATGGTTTGCCGCACTCGCCTGAGAGTCTTAACGTCCAAGCTGGAAGATAATCTGTGCAAAACTTGTCTGCTGCCGGTCCCACGCTGCACTTCGTATGCGCGGGGCTTCTGCTTTCCACAGCGCTGTTTGGAAAGCTGCGCCGATCTCCGGTGAGGAGGTAGCACCCTGTAGCCGAAAAACTCGCTCAAGCCAGACCCTGCGGCGCCAAAGTCTTTGACAAGTATCCTGAGCCGCGCCCGACGGACCTTCGGCCACCCCCCGCGGAGCCTCCGGAACACACCCTCGAGCCTTCGACCTCTCAGGGTGGGCCCCGCAGTGTCCCGTAGGGCACACTGGCCGGTTGGGTCTTCGGAGCACGGCCAGGGCGCTGGGAAGCTGGGAGAGGAAGCCCGCGATGGTGGGGTGAGGGTGCCCATGAGTGTGAGGTTGTAGAAGTATTGTCAATGATTTGAGAATGGTGACTATCTTTCATCATCATCATCATCATCATCATCATCATCATCATCATCATCATCATCATCATCAGCATCAGCATCAGCATCGGCATCAGCATCAGCATCACCATCGTCGTCGCCATCACCACCATCATCACCACCACCACTATCATCATCATTGTTTTTTCTCTGCCGATCCGTGATCATCACCATCATCACCATCATCATCATCATCATCATCATCATCATCATCATCATCATCGTCATCGTCATCAGCACCATCACCATCACCATCACCATCATCGTCATCATCATCACCATCACCATCATCGTCATACTTATTGTCATCATCACCATAATTATCATCACCCTCATAATCATCATCATCATCATCATCATCATCATCATCAGCATCATCATCATCGTCATCATCATCATCATCATCGGTATCATCATCATCATCATCATCATCATCATCATCATCATCATCATCATCATCATCATCATCATTGTCATCATCATCATCATCATCATCAGCATCATCATCATAATCATCATCGGGGTTGGGATGTGGCGGCAGCGGCGGCGGCCGCAGCACCGTCGCTCGCGCGCGTGCTCGGCTGTCTGCTGAGCCGTGTGCCCAGACATGCGACGTCCAGTTTTTTCAATCCCAGGAGCCCGGAGGTCCCGACCTGTTATCATGAGACAGGTTTTTCGTCCTGAGTCTTGTTTTTACGGTCCCAGTGCCCAAAGATGGCCCCCAGATGCGGGACATACGGAAACATTGCCCGGCGTTAGTTTGGAGGCACGCAATCATGTGTGCCGTACGGCTAGGACGAGGATAAGTCCGTTCCGGAGCGTTCCGGAAAGCTCTCAGAGCGTTCCGGAACGCTCTGGGAAGGCCGCGGCGCCCGAGGCATCTTCCAGAGCCGCCAGATTTCACACATTCTCGATCCATCCGCGCCCGATTTTCTCCTCGTGGAGGCTGGGCGGCGCCAGGGCCCCACGGCAGGGGCGCGCAGCCGGCGCGGCTCGAGGCCCGCATCGCCGGCGGTGGCCGCGGCGATGGCGGCGCGCCGCCCGGGTGGCGGGAGGCCCGCGCGGCCCGTCGTCGTCCTCGCCGTGGCCTCCGCTGCCAAGCTCGCAGAGCAAGCCACGGCACGAGCAGGGGGCCACACCCGAGACCTGCCCCTACCCCCTCCCCCCCACGATTTCTGAGGGGGGAGGTGGGGCTCACCTCGCTTGGGAGCTCTCGAGCGAGGTGAGCCCCACCCTTCCCCTCAGAAATCGTGGGGGGGGTAGGGGCAGGGTTCGCGTGTGGCCCCCTAGCGAGCAGACGGATTAAGTGAGTCTTTGGGGAAGCTCTTTCTACATAAACATGATTCGGCGGCGGGCGAGGGGGGGAAGTGGGCAGGAAAGGGTCTTCTCAGAAGGCGGCGGGACTTCTCGGAAGCCCTCGCGCCGTCTTCTGAGAGTTTGTCTGTGTTTTGGGGGAAGGCTCAGGAAATTCTTTACGCTTCGCGTATCCCCACCAGCCCATCTCACAGCAGCAACTCTTGCGAAGCATGCCGACAGTCGTGTTTTTCAGGCGTGTGTCCGCTTGGCCCCGCATATCTCCCCTGTTCCTCCTTCCTCCCGCCTCCTTGTACATCCTCCTTGTGGGGGGAGCGGGAGAAGGACGAGGCGGAGGAGGAGGGAGAGAAAGCGCTCCTCGTGATTTGAGTCGTTTGGGGTTTCTCGTCCTGGTGTGAGTCGTTCGGGCCCTTCTTCCTGGTGTGAGTCGTTCGGGCTCTTCGTGGTGTGAGTCGTTCGGGCTCTTCGTCCTGGTGTGAGTCGTTCGGGCTTCTCGTGGTGTGAGTTGTTCGGGCCCCTCGTCCTGGTGTGAGTCGTTCGGGCCCCTCCTCCTGGTGTGACTCGTTCGGGCTCCTCGTGGTGTGAGTCGTTCGGGGCCCTCGTCGTGGTGTGAGTCGTTCGGGCTCCTCGTGGTGTGAGTCGTTCGGGCGCCTCGTCCTGGTGTGAGTCGTTCGGGCCCCTCCTTATGGTGTGAGTCGTTCGGGCTCTTCGTGGTGCGAGTCGTTCGGGCCCCATGGGCTGGTGTGAGTAGTTCGAGCTCCTCGTGGGGCCTCTTGGGGACCTCTTGGAGGCTCTTGGGGCCTCTTGGGGGCCTCTGGGGGGCCTCTTGGGGGCCTCTTGGGGGCCTCTTGGGGCGTCTTGGGGCCTCTGGGGGGCCTCTTGGGGGCCTCTTGGGGGCCTCTTGGGGCCTCTTGGGGGCCTCTAGGGGGCCTCTTGGAGGCCTCTTGGGACCCTCCTGGGGGCCTCTTGGGGCCAGCTTGGGGCCTCTTGCGACCTCCTCAGAAGCGCAAGTGAGCGCTGCCCCCTGAGAAGGACAAAATGCGCCCAAAACCTTTGTAAAATCAATGATTTTGCTATGAAGGCAGAGGAGCGCTGCTCCCTCAGAAGGCCAACATGGGGCCGAAACCGTAGTAAAATCAATGATTTTGGCTTCAAAGAAGAGGAGAGGGTTTTTTCTCCCTCCCCCCGTCGGGGCCAGAATCCTCGTGAGGGGTGTCGTTTTTTAGCCCTCCCAGGAGTCGAAATTGACCCCCCTGACGACCCGCGGCCCCCCCTCTCCAGGCCCAGGGGGAGGGGGTAATGGGAGGGGTAAACCCCTCCCCGAAGGGGAAGAAGGGGGGTTGAGGACAGAGTTTTGGGGGAAGGCTCAGGAAACTTCTCTCCTCAGACGGCCGGGGATTTCCCGAGCCCTCTGATGAGGCCTTCTCCTTTCCTTCTCACTTCCCTTCCGGACTCGCCACCGAATAATACCCTTTTGCATGAGGTGACCAAAGGCCACCAAAGGCCGCTACAGGCCACTAAAGCCGCTAGAAGGCCACTGAGGGCCTCCAGTATTATACTAAAGGCCGCTAAAGTTCACTAGAGGCTACTAAACCGAGGCGGTGCACCTTAGAATGAGCTTCCACAAAGACTCGCCTAAGACGGTGTGGGGCCTGTGAGAAATCCATGGGCCCTGGCAGCAGGCCCCAGCCTGGCAGGCGCACCCATAGGAAAAAGGTACTGCGAGCAGCAGTTTCATTCACTTGACGCTGTAACGTTCAGGGCGTTACTGACGGTGTGGGCGTCAAGAATCTGGGGAACAAGCAATGACAGAATAATCAGACTTCGGAGGTCCGCGCATATTCCTCGGATCGTCGCTGGTGCCCCATAGCGGCTCCTCCGGTGACGCCCCCTGCCGCGCTCCGCGCGCCACGGAGGGGGGTCCAGCGCCGATCCGAGAAGTTCGCGCGGACCTCCGATGTTTATGTTTATGTCATTGCTTGCTCCCCGCGGCCGCCTGAGGCCCGAGCCATGATCCGAAAGCCACATGTCAGAGTGACCGTTCGCGGGAGTGACCTGTTGGTGCGGGTGTGCAGGGGCTCCCCCGGCACGGCCTGGCGCCCTTCAGTTTGCCTCCCCCACCCAAGCCTCCACGGCCTAAGCTGCGCACTTCAGGACACATCTTTCCTGGTGTCCCTCCTTGCGCTCAGCCGCGCAGTTGTCGCCGTCGTCATCGCCGTCGCGGGCTTCCCC